ATTATTGTCCTTTACACACATGGATATTTGAAAGCAAAATCCATCTATTTAAAGTAAACAGTAGAACCTGCCCCTCAATCGGTGAGCATAAAAGTGAATATCAACATGCTGAGTTAAGAAGAGTCCCTGTTTGTAATCATAGAGAAACACCAACCTTAGTGGTGCTTGCTGGAGCCAGCTGCCCTTCATATCATATGACAACTCTCTCGGATCGATGCTTTGATTGTAGAAAAGCCCTTGTGACATGCACATTTTCACGGTAAAAAGGGTGAAAAATTTTCGGTAGGCCCTGTCATTTTTTTTTTTTTTTTACTAGCAGTAAGTATTGTTGTTTTAGTTATTAAATTAATTTTTCAACTATTTGATTTATGAATGAGAGTAGTTCAGTGTCAACTGCTACAAATTATTAATATAGACACTCAAAAACTATACCTCTAAAAAAATTTAATGGCTTCAAGGCAGATGCACTGAGAATTCTAAGTTTATTTTGATAACAGACTAATAGATGTGAATATATGTTTTATTTATTTATTTATTTATTTTTGAGAATTAAGACGTCATAATATGATGTTTGAGATATCCTGGCCCTTTAGCACTGCATTGCTTCGGTATGCTAGTGATGACAAAGCGCATGCATTGATATGCATATTATGACAATATCAGTGGTAGGGTGACAATTGAATCTTATACAGTGGGGCACATTTTCTTACAATGAATTTTAAGAGTTTAATTTAGAATTTTTAGAATTTGAATTTGGTTTTGAGTAACTGCCGTTTGTCTTATGAGTTTAAACATAAATTCAATTTGAGAAAACATTATAACAAAAGGACATGAATTGTTGTTCAATCCTGAATACAAACAACTCACTTGTTTAGATTTGGTTATGACATTTTAGGATGAAACATCACTGAACTCTAGATTTAATTTGATAGAATTTGATTTTTGAGTTTTAAGAATTTGATTTCGTATTTAGAACTTGAATTGGATTGGTTTTGACTTTTTTTCCTTTTTTCCCCCCTTGTATGTGGTGGTTTTGACCTTTTAGTATGAAATTTTATTGAAAAGACATGAATTGTTGTTCAATCCTGAATATAAATAACTCACTTGTTTAGTTTTGGTTACGACACTTTCGAATGAAACATCACTGAACTATAGATTTAATTTGATAGAATTTGATTTTTGAGTTTTAGGAATTTGATTTCATATTTAGAACTTGAATTGGATTGGTTTTGACTTTTTTTCCCCCTTTGTATGTGTTGGTTTTGACCTTTTAGTATGAAATTTTATTGAATTATAGGTTTAATTTCACAGAATTTGCTTTCTAAGTTCTAACTATGTTGTAGATTTTTTTTTTCAAAAAAAAAATTTATTTTAACTCTTAAGTTAAATAGGTAGGGTATGAGGACAGGAACCATCCCCTTGCTACCCTAAAAAAAAATTTATTTTAACTATGTTGTAGATTCGGTAATATTACCCGTACTAGCATTTCATAGTCATTTTGAATCTTACAAATACAACCCTGTTCAACAAAATCTCAAGACCAATAAGAAGTATGATAGATCCCAAGCAATTGCAACTACACAATTCAGTGTTGTTGTTATTTGATAGAATCTACTCAATATCAAATGATAACAATGAAGGGTATTGTCCTTTCTCCAGAGGCCAGCATGAAAAGTTAATGTTAGTATTATTCACATTCCAATTTAAAAAGAGTTTTGCCTAGAGATGTCAAAAGGACCGTGCCGGGCCGGCACGGCCCTTCTAACCCTAGGTCTGTGGTGGGCCTGGGCCGTGCTTGGCACGGCCCAGCACAGTGCAGAGCCGTGTAGGGCCCGGCCTGAGGAGAAACCGTAAGACCCAGCACTGGCCCTCGGCCCTAGTCCATAAGGGTCAGGGCCGGGCCCAGGCCCTTCACGGGCTGACTCTGGCTCTTTTATTTTTTTTATAATATTTAATTAAAAAAAGAAAATATATCTTATGCCCCCAAAAGATGTGATTTTATTGAATTGAGATAATACGAATAAGTACACCTAAATGACCGCCTCGTTAAAAACCTTGCCAAGTAAAACCCGTGGGGAGATCGGGACAAAACCTTAGCAAAGGAAAAAAGAATGCAGTATTCAAGGATAAGTAAATTACAAAATCTAAGTGCTTCCAGAAGATTTTGTTATGTCTTAGTTAGAAAAATATTATTAAATTGAATCATCTGTATATTCTTGTTTTCGTCTTCTTGCATCTTCTCAATCTTTAACACCCTCCAAGATATCCAGATACATTCTGCATCTCTTATCGTCAAGAATTCGGTTGCTTGCCCTAAATGCTTGCTCCGATGCTATCGTTGGCATTGGAGTTGTCAGAATGTCATGGTCTATTACGGACAGTATTAAAAAAATGATCGGTCTTGCTCCTCCACCACTGTAGATGTCCAGTTTGTCGTCATCGATTATAAAATTCGATTCAAAATATTTTACCAGTTCGGTAGACGCTTGTGTTGATGACTATCCTGACATTTTATCTTTCTTCTTTAAGAAGCTCCACGATGAGGCTTTAGGCCCCGAACTGCTTACTGACGTCGATGTTCCCTATTCTTTTTTACCTGTTCCGTATTTTGCTTCATACAAACCAAATAATTTTTCTAACATTTTCCTAGCATCAGTAATAGTTAGTAACATATCAATACCTAAATTTTATGCCGTGACAGTCATTAAAGATTCGGTCCCATCTACTCCGCATTTAGGATCTAAAATGGTTGTTAATGCATATAACATTAGACAACCGGTCCAATAACTTTTAAATATAGCTTCCATTAGCTTAACTATAGTTCTAAAAAGTTCAGTATCCCTATAATAAGAAAATATTTTTGAAATATTAAATAGTTGGTGCAAAGCTAAAATATGCAGTATGATAATAAACTCTAGAAAGTAATTCAATAGCATTGTAGAAAACTTCTAAAAATTTTAAAAAGTACTCACCAGTCTTCCAATCTGTATCAAGAATTAAAATTTTATCATTCTTACTGTTCACATATGTTGTGATGAGCTGTTGATACAGAAGTGCAGCCTTCAACATTAAGTAGGTGGAATTCCACCTATGTCTCATATCAGTTGGAAACTTTCTTGGGCGCATATGGCTATTCCTGCAATATTATCAGAATTCTTGGAGCCGAGCTCCAGAACTAGATATGAAGGATTAAGATTCTCTAATATTTGTTATATTAGAGGAAATATGTTCAATTTTTGCTTGCACTACTAAATTTATTATATGACATACACACTGTTGATGAAAAATTTTGCCACTAAATGCCGGTTTCAAACTACATTTAAACATGTTAATTGCAGCCGTGTTAGCTGACGCATTATTAAAAATAATAATTAAAACTTTATCTTCTATCTCATAAAACCCAAAAATTTTCATTACTATGTGTTATGAGAAAATGGACATAAATGAAAACCTATTATTCTCTTTTGTAAAACCTATTTATTGTCAACATAATGCGCCGTGACGTATAAATATCCAGTTTTATTGTACTCCTCCCATAGATCAGAAGTACAAGATATAGTAGCATTAAAAGACCTCAAATTATCAACTAGAGATTGTCTCATTGCATAAAACACTTTCATGCAATCAGAACGAGTTGTGTTTTTATTTACCCGTTTAAATTGTGGGCAAAAGGCTATTTGTACGAATTCTTCAAATGCTGCATCATCTGCAAAAGAAAGAGGTAATTCGGCACTAGCTAAAAATTTAGCTAGTGCCTCATGAGCACGTTGTGCATCGTAGGTAAAACTTTGCAACCCTTGTGATGTGAGTGATAGTGTTTGATGGTGGGACTCCACACTCCCACCTTGGTGCAAGGGTAGGCATGCTTTCCAATGTCTATCCAGATGACTAATACCCCTATCCTTTTTATTAGAAAAATACTTTTTACAATATTTATATACAACACGAATTTTCATTTCACATGTTTTTGGATTTGGTCATGGCTCATCTGTGAAATGTTGCCATGCGGGAGAAGTTCACAGTCTTTTTCCCCTGCTACGTTCCCCAACTTCCTCGTTGTGCACTAAAGCATTATCAACCGAAGCAATTTTCGATTCAGTGGGGGTGGTGTTGTGGGCCAACATTTCATCCTCGTAAAATGGCTCATCACCAAGCTCAGGGAGAGCAGTGAAATGAAAGAAATTTTATGCGGCCATTTTTTGAAAAAAAAAAAAAAGAAACTAATGTTTATTCGTTCATTTATAAACAATAAACAATACAAATAAACTTGAGTAATATAATGTTATGTAACAAAATTGATAAGTAGAATATATTTTTTTCGAGATTTATAAATGAAAAAGCAAGAAAATGAGTAATCGATAGAGAAAATCTTAAAATCAATATCAAAGAGACAAGATGAGAAATAGAATGAGGTGAGATGAGAAGTTGAGAGTGAATTGTTGTGTGAGATTTAAGAGTATTTATTGATGAAATTTAGGTGCATTTCTCAACTTGTGACCGTTGGGTCCTTCGTGTGCCAAACAGACACAAGCTAGCGGGCTTCTGGTGGGACGAATCGTGTGTAGGCCGGGCTGAACAAATTCTGAATCCGGGCTTAGGTCGAACTGAACTTGGGCCAGGCCACCAACCTCAAGGGCTAAGGTTAGGCCTAGGCCATAAGCTGAGAAACCGTAGCCCAATCCTAATCCATCAAATGTGCCAAGCCGACGCAGCTCATAATAATACCGTATTAAACCTGACACTATTACGAGTTGGGCTGGACCGCCCTTAAATTGCCTGCCCACACCTCTAGTTTTGCCAATGTAAACGCTGTAGAGAGTAGAAACGACAACAAATCTATTATGTACAGTCAAACTCAGTTATTTTTTGGGCTGGCATTGTACGAATCCAATGTACTTCCACAATTCAACTTAAATGTCGTACCTTTCACGAAAGAATATAGTTAGTTACACTTGTCAAAGAAATCACGCTGTATCCAGGAAGATCCAGCTTTCTATTACTTTTTTTTTTTCTTTTTCTTCCAATATCACTAGCAGCTTTTCGAAGTGAAAAATAAACAAAACCCTAATTTCACCAATCAGACAGTACATATCTTTGACTTTTTTTACATCTCGATTCAGGTACAAAATCTAGCAATAATATTCTAACTTAAGCGACAAAGATAGAGCATGAAAAAAAAAATATAAAAAAGAAAATAAAAAAAGTCAATACTTTTTTTTTTTTTTTGTGTGGTTTCATTCTCATTCTTCTCCGTTCCTTTTTTAGATATTATTATTGAGCCAAACAAAGTCGGTGGGAGGATGGGATGGGAATCATATATGGAATGGAACATTAATATTGGATGTTGATGTTTGGTTACGCTGATAACTCTTGTTTGGTCATCAGTTAACCTTAACCTTAACCCCGATCATGATCATCTTCACCCTGGATTATATCACATCTCAAAATCAACTCGAGCATTGCCTCACCGAACAAGCAACCACCTGTGCCCACTGCCTCAGCCTCGTCTTCACCGTTTGTGGTGTATCTCCTAATTTCCCGAGAACCAAAAAGAAGACAGAAAAATAAAATCAGATTATAATTCAATCACGGATTGATGTGGGGAATTAATATTAGGAAAAAAAATGTATATATATATATATATACATGTATGTATGTATATACCGGGACAGAACATGGTATGGGGGCTGCCCAAAGGAGAGGGGGTGTCGCAGTCCGACGTGGCGGTAGAGGAAGACGACGTCGTATTGAGAGCCGGTTTGGAGAGATTGAGAGAGTCGTTGTAGTGCTTGTTGACGGCGTAGTAGAGTTCCAAGGCCGGCAAGGTGTCGGAGAGGCGCTGATCGGCTGGCTCCGGCGAGTCGAAGCCGAAGCCGAGCTCGATGCAACCCTTGAGCTCGTCGAGGTCCTCGTCCGTCACGCTCTTGCTCCGCTGCCTCGACTTCTTCCCGCCGGCGCCGCCGCCGTTGCTCTTCTTCCTCCGGAGCCACGCCTCCTCGCGGTACGCGTCCGGCGACCACGATCGCTGCTTGTACAGCGGCGGCGGCGCGTGGGGAGCGCGCGCCAAGGGAAAGGACGTCGCGTGGGGATCGGACATGGTGGGGAAGGGGAAGACCTCGCGTGGCACGGCCGGCGGAGCCGATTCCCCGGCGGCGTGCGGAGGTCGGAGGACCTCACGCGCTGGGTTGTTCTCCAGCGCTTTGGGATTTTTTTTTTGGGTGTGGTTTTTTCTGAAATGGTTTTAATTGAGGAGAAGGGTTTATAAATGGGTGAAGAAAAGAGGAGAGATATAAGGGAAGAAAGTTGGGTGGTGGGACCAGGAAGACTTTGCTTTGGTTGGTCCGCGTCATGATGACCTGTCCGTTTCTTTTTTTGCCTTTTTTTTTTTCAATTATTAGTTTTTCTAGAGAATTCATGGATATTTTCCGTTTGCTTGCCGAGAAAATCTTAGGAATAGTGAAAGGAATGATTGGTTGAGTTAATGAATCTGAGTAATGTCGTGCGTCCTAAGTTTAGTGTCCTTAACGTCGATTAAACCAAATGGTTGTGTTAGGGTTTTGGATTTGGTTGTAGTCCGTCACACTTTGTCACATAAGTACTGTTAGTGGGTCTAGGGTTGGCAATTCGTGTTTGCGTGTCGTGTTCGGGCCGGCACGATTACGGGACAACACGATTATAGTGAACACGAATACGACACGATTAATAAACGTGTCAGAACCTCAAACACGAACACGAAACGCTAATAACACGGTTAACACGACACGACACGCGAATACAATTATTAAACGTGCCGTGACGGGCGGACACGAAAAAAAAAACACGTTTATGACCCGTTTATAAACCAACTAGCAAAAATAGTGAAATTTTATATTGTATTCAAAACTATATTAATTGACTACTTAATATAAAATCATGCATAATAGCCAACACACGTTAAAATATCCAAATATCAAATACACACATATATATGATACTACTAGATTATTAAGTATACATGTTTCAAAACATACCAATTACCAACACATCCAAAGAAGTTTGAAAACATAGCCAAGTACATTTAAATAAGTTTGAAAACACAACCAAACATTTGAATGTTTAAGTGCATAAAACATAAAATAACTATTGGAAAATGTCTTCTTTGAGCCTTGAGGTTGAATGTCCAATTACGCTCTAAAAATCAAAATTAGTTTCAAGAGACTGAGTCAGAAGTAGGGTTTTGTCTAAAATATATATATATATATATATTGTCGGTTAGATAAAGTATTTGTATTTGAATTTAAATAAAATAGAGGATAAATGGTTTATCATTAGAGATAAGGTTTCTTAGGTTAGAGTTTATCTTTAATTATGATAGTTTCTTTTAGGAAGATAAGGTTTTTTCTTAGCCTATTTATTCTTATTTTTTACTATTCCAAAAATAATAGAAGAGAGTTTCTTTCTATAAAATTTACATATATATATATATATATATGGGCTTAATAAACGGGCCGGGCCGTGTCGGCCCGATAAAGACCCGTATAACTAAACGGGTTAAGTGTGTTAAACGGGCTAGCACGAATCCAGCCCATTTTTTTTCATGTTATTCGTGTCAGCCCGTTAACGACCCAATTAATAATCGTGCGGTCCAAACCCATTTATCTCGTGTTGTTTTCGTATCGTTTTATCGTGTCGTGTCTGAAATTGCCGGCCTTAAGTACGGTTGCACCCACCGCCTTTTGCATCTAATTGGCTTTTTAATGAGGAATTGATGTTGGGGTTTATATGAAAAGAAAATAATAATAAGAAATTGGTGTAATGCACAATGACTCCAATAAAGTTGGATAATGGTGGTAATTGTAATAATTTATAGACTTTTTAAGGACAATTTTATGTATATTAAGACAATAATACATATATTACAAGAGAATTTGAATGACACATTAAAAAGAGCTCATATATGAGTTTTTTAACCAGTACTCTATAATCGGTATAAATTTTTAATTGATTGAGAGCTACAGCACTGTAGCATAATGGCCACCATATAAACACAATATTAGAAGTTAAAAGAAAGACCCGAAAGGTGGGGATAACATCTCCATTACAGCGTAAAGGCAGTAAAACAACAAGATACACTGAGTCAAACGACAAAAACATCACCATTTTTATTTAACAAACACATAATTTAAAACAGACATGTAAAACCTAAACGACAACGAAAAAACTTCAATTAAGAGTCAAAAACTATCGAAAATGTCGTCTCATTATCAGCGAGCCAAAAGATAGCCAGAAAGAAGGCAGGTCTTCGATGTGAGAAAACCACCAACCGCTACACATCTCTGCTGACCAAGGAAAGCGTTGCCTTCATGGATCCACCGCCCATAGAAACCAAAGTCTCAAAACAAATAAAGAACTCTAGGGTCCGTTTAATTCGCTAATTCGAGTTTTTAATTCGAGTTGAGATGTGACGTTATGTGAGAGTTTTTTACTGTAGCAAAAAAATTAGATGTGACTGTTTCTGAGAACTTTTTACTGTAACAAAACCGAATTAGCGATATGAACGGAGTCTAAGTATCGACACGTCTGCAACCCGCACAGAGAGACAAAAACAAGGCCACCAAACACATCTTTGAAAAAATTCACTTAAGTTGTGCTAAAAAAAACCTATTTAGATAAAAGTTATCAAATGAGTCCTCCATTATTTTTATTTTACTTTTATTTTCAAAAAAGTTAGTATAAAATATTTAAATTGTACATTGGGACTAATCACCAGACTTTCCATACAATTACTTCTTTTACTTACTATAACGTTAAAAAAAAAAAAAATCTAAATTGTCACGTTCTAATTACCACACTACAAGCAAACACAATAAGATCTTAATATTTTACATGTGGTATTTTACCACAATTCACATTAGTCGAGAACTCCTTTAGCAAAGACTAAACAGAGGAAGGCTTGTTTTATTTAATATATTACACAGACAATCAGTGAGTCTACATGTCATTTTTGTTTTGTTTTATAGTATTGTTTTAAGAAAATTATAATTGTTAATTTTTTTTGGAAGATTTTCTGGTACGCCAGACGTACTGATATGCTAAGTTTTTCTAACTGTTGGATATGCGTATTTTTAAATTTTTACGTAATTTTATACAGATTTGATAGACATAAAACCTGACCTACGGGTATGTTAACGTACCGGGAAAGATCCCTAATTTTTTATGTTGCATCTTATGTCATCATCAAGAAAGATACTTATAATATTGTTGGTATTTATTTACGGGAGTACACCCTTTTTTTTTTGTTACATTTAAAGAAGGAAATGTATATGCATCAAATAAAATTATGTAGCCCATGTGATATTATGTAGTAAATTAGTGATCATTAGTGGTAATTTTTTTTTTGAAACGGACAAACATTTCTTAATTCTATAACTCGAATCAAATAATGTATTTAGTTTTAGTGGCTAAAGTAGCATCTAATCAATCAAATTGTGATACATTATTAAAAAAATAATTAAGTGACTTTTTCATGCTTTAATATTTAAGTCATTATAACATAATAACATGTGATTATTTAGACACATTAAAAATAAAATTAGCGTTCCGTATTGTATATTAAAAAAAAAAATTGGATTGGTTCTGACTCTTTATAAGTCTATTTGATATAACTCTATTTGGAAGTGAATAACTCTTTGAATGAACCATAATCTTCTGGTATTAGTTATTCCCACACTTTTATGAGTTAATGGTTTGTGAATCAGGTTACCACAACCAAACGGAAAGTTAAAATAATTCGAGATCATCAACACCATTTTTAATTTAAATACCATAATAACTCTCTAAAAAGCAACTTTATTTAGGGTCATCTATAGCCATCAATTATCAATGATGTTTACCTGGCAAGTGCCGCTTAACTTTTTCAATCACTTACCACATATTTTATATAATAACAAATGACATATATGTAATTATATAACAAGTCATGTGTTTGAAGAATTCAACCCTCACGCGGCATTACTCTTTCTTCACTATTTTTGTCACTTACTGTATTTTAACGCGTAAATTTTATGATAATATTTTTCATTTAAATAATAATATGTCATATTAATAAAATTTATGTGTCAAACAATAAAAATAAAAATCAACAGTAACTGAAAGAATAATATTAACATTTCTTTTTAGCAATATTGTCTTTAAGGTGATAATTTGTACTTGCTTGAACATTCCGAATTTATGGTACGTTTGGTTGGATAGAAAAGAAAGTAATAGAATGAAATAAAATCTAAGTCTGATGTTTGGTTGGATTTATAAAAAATGAATGGTCATTCAAAATGAATGACCATTCACCCATTTTAATTGAATCATCATTCCTTCGTCACATGTGATGAATAGTCATTCTACGCTATTTTCTTCATTTTTTTTCATAATTACCCTTCAATATTTTAATATAATTACAATATATTATATAGTTGTTATATCTTATAATATGTAATATAATATAATATAATAATATGATATGATATAATATAATATATA